TGGTCTGATTTCAATATAATTTTGCATAACTAGACTAATGCTTCTACGAAGGCCAAATTTTGGAGAGAAAAAACCTATAAAGATAAGGGCTCTATGGCTGCTACTTTGCAAAAGAGTTTGAAAAGAGGAGTCATGTAGATGCAGCGACCTAATAGACCCGATGTTTGTATATATATGGGGCACTAGTATTTTGACAGTCTTGCAGGTCAAAGAGACTGAATTGCACACTGCATATACAATTCATTATCAAATAAAAAACAAATCCACCAGTGTCCTTTATTGCTATGGAGAAATTATAGTAAATGATATTAGCCATCTAAAAAAGAATCTAATAGTTTAAGACTTATGAACATTTTCGAAATCTCAAGACACCTTACATCGTACTGCTGACTACAAACAAAAAGGACTTTCGTGGAGCATATAGCAGGTCTAGAAATACGTTTGAAAGAATGTTTGCCGTACTGAAAATTCTTTCTCGATTTACGTTTCTACATTGCTGGATAAGGTCATGTGTCTTCAAAGTGAGGGGTGACACAATCATTTTGCCTCATCACTGGGCCTTTATCGTCAATTCAAGATATAAATAACTTAACGGAAAAGGCCAAGTGATGTTCAGATTGGAGTAAACGGCTGTGGAAAAAAAGTTAAACTTCCATGAGATCATATAAAGTTAACTTTTTAGACCAGATTCTCAAACTTTAGAATCTGTAGATACTTGTAGTACGCAGCCCCCTCGCCACTTTTTCTGAGAAAAATATTTTAAAGGGTCAGCTCTAGAGTCTCGTAGTAAGAAAATATCCTTATGGCACAGGTTCGGATCCCACTGTGGGACGTGGAGTCCTGTTCTTCGGATGAGACCGTATAAACCGAGGTCCTGTGTCGCAGTAGATACTAGCACGAATAAGATCCTTCACTGCTCTGGCCCTAAGCGACTTGAATAGTTCAACATTTGCCGCTCTCCGCCGGCCAATGGTAAGGTCTCCATATGAGTAAATAATTCTCGAGTGTGACGTTAAATAGCAAACAAACAAGCAAATACAATTTCGATATCGATACCAGATAATAATTTTCTTCTGAAAACGCTGTTCCCCAAATAATTTGGCCCGATTTTACAAAAAAAATTAAAAAAAATTGCAAGATAAGTAATCTAGATCGATGATAACAATTCATATAGTTAAATCAAAGAAACGTTTCGTGTTGTTTAGCGTTCCTCTAGAGAACTTTTTTCTGACGATTCTTTTTAAAACAACTATCGAGAAGAAATTTCAAATTATAATGAGCTAACGCTTACTTTTAATTTCAGAAAACAAGACTGAATAGTAAAATTATCCTTTCAGTATGGTATCACAATCAAACGAAGTCATTTGGTAAGTGTGTCATTTGGCTTTTGAGACCAAACTCTTTTGGCCTTGTTGATCAATACAAGTATCCAGTTTGAAGTATGTCTCAAGATCTCTTAAACCCTGACTTACAATCTGGGGTATAAACATCTTTTCTACCCACTTTCTCAGTCAATTAAACGTAATCTAGGCCTGTGGTTAAAATATATGTACTATCATGGCTTAACTGTCGAATACGGAAGCGTATTCGTGCCACTTGCACACTTTACTTTTTTTTAATTTCTACACTTTAATCTGTAAATTTTACACTTTAAAGTGTAAATGTCTTTAATCTGTAAATTTTACACTTTAATCTGTAAAATTTACACTTTAATCTGTAAATTTTACACTTTAAAGTGTAAATTTTACACTTTAATCTGTAAAATTTACACTTTAATCTGTAAAATTTACACTTTAATCTGTAAATTTTACACTTTGATCTGTAAAATTTACACTTTAATCCTTTAGGTAATTTTTCGATTTGTTGGTATAGATCTTATCGAAATAGAAAATATCGGATAGTAATTCTTATAAAATGTTAGTTTAAGCAAATTTTCTGAATTGATAGGATAGATTATATCACAATTGTGTCATCCATATATTATTTATTTGAAAAAAAAGTTTAACAAGCCCTAGAATCTATATATTTGGGGATGGGGGGGGGGGTCCTCAAGCACCTGTGATCGGGAATATGTGCATGTATGTTTGATACGCTGTTCACTTTATATTCAAAGAAAAGTTTTACTTTAATAAAACATCAGAATTAAATTTTATCATGCACGAAACATGGTCTGTTGGCATAAAAATGTGTTTACTGAGGATGTGTGAAGATGCTAAATTGACTATGTGAATTAACAAATAAAGTGTAAAATTTACAGATTAAAGTGTAAAATTTACAGATTAAAGTGTAAATTTTACAGATTAATGTGTAAAATTTACACTTTAAAGTGTAAAATTTACAGATTAAAGTGTAAATTTTACAGTTTAATGTGTAAAATTTACACTTTAAAGTATAAAATTTACACTTTATAGTGTAAATTTTACACTTTAAAGTGTAAAATTTACACTTTAAAGTGTAAAATTTACAGATTAAAGTGTAAAATTTACATTTTAATGTGTAAATTTTACAGATTAAAGTGTAAAATTTAGATTAAAGTGTAAAATTTACAGATTAAAGTGTAAATTTTACAGATTAAAGTGTAAAATTTACAGATTAAAGTGTAAATTTTACAGATTAATGTGTAAAATTTACACTTTAAAGTGTAAAATTTACACTTTAAAGTGTAAAATTTACAGATTAAAGTGTAAAATTTACAGATTAAAGTGTAGAAATCAAAAAAAGTAAAGTGTGCAAGTGGCACTAATACGCTTCCGTAGTCGAAAGATAATGAGTTCGATTATAGAATGATAAACCTTTAAAACTATATGGTTTTGCTACACAAGTGATGAACTGAATGTGTCCTGTACCCATAGTAGGAGTCGTTGTTTATAAATTAACGTACGTCCCTCTCGAGAATTTCTCACTCCTATGGAGACGCCACCACTTGACAGTGAAAGACTGCAAATTCTGTCCTATACTCGACACTCAGGATTTTTGAGCAGTAAGGGGATCATTTTCGTGCCAACACTTACTACGACACATGACCTCGATTTATTCGGTCTTATTCGAAGGACCGGTCTCTCCGTCCCGCGGTGGATTCGAATCCGCGAAGTAAGGACCCTACTCCAGACTCAAGGGCAGACGCTCTTTCCATTGTGCCACGCTGGTGACACCGTTATTTTGGAAACACCGTCTTTTTAACATACAAAAAAATGTACAGATGAATCTTGAGATTATATACCTTTGTTACCTGTAAAAACATTTATTTGAAGATTTTATCAAAAGATTCGTCAGTGCCTCTGCGCAACTGGTGTGCGACAGTACAAAAGGATTTATATGCAGTAGTCATCGCTTTTAAATAAAATCAAAACTGACTTTAAGATGTCATCCACATTCAACAAAATATATAATTTTAATATAGATTTGACGATTTTTGTATATTAACAAGGATGGATTTCAGAGCATGCATTTGTTCGAAATCTTATTATTTCATCGGAAATTGTCCGTTGCTTTTATCAGGAAGTATTCGTTTCAGCACAAAGGATCCAAGATACATATATGCCTGTACTCCGTTTTACGGAGTTTCCACGTTTTAAAATATTACATTCTGTATAAAACTGAATATTAACATTTTTAATATTGTTTTGCTTCGTGTCACTTTCGGCATTAATTTATATATCGAAGATGTAAATTCAACAATAATCTTTCGTTCATTCATATTTCCATTTGATAATTCTCCCTGACCTTGAAATGAAAGACACAAAAGAAAAAGTCACACCTGTTCCGTATTAAAATGTTTCACTTACTTTTACTTATTCCTTATATAATTCTGAAACAAGAGTACAAGTCCAATTAACAACGATATATAATTATGTAAATAAAACGCATGAAACCCAAAAATGATTTTCAAAAGCTAGAATTGCCAACTTTCGAGTTGGAAAAGCCAAGATTATATAAAGTTAGAAAAGTCAAGATTAAAGTTGGCATTTCTAAAATTAAATACCGATGATGTAAATATTTTTAATAAAATGTAACTAAACAAGTAAAATTTACCTTTTGTGTAAGAGAATTGCTAGGAGGCATTTAAATGAAAGATACATGATGAAATTTTTAGTAAAATTGTTTTGTTCAACCATGTTACAAACTTTGATTTACAATGGCGAAAACTTCGATACTTAAGTAAATAAGGATATTACTATAAGTAAACTAAGTTTTCTGTCCGTTAGCGTAAAACAAAGAATTAGAACAAGTGTACTTCGCTGAAATCTTTATTAAAGTGAATGTAGTCGGTGTATGAAACGTGGGATTTTGGAATTATATCTGGGTTATTGTACCACATTAAAGTTACTTTACTATGCTTGCATATTTTCCTGATCTTTACAATGACATCACATCTTTGCAATTCCTTTATCGGTTAATATATCATCAAACCATTCTCTAAACTTTTCATATGTCCCTCGTAAATACATGTACTGCTTTTACATGTACATCGTGGTTGCTTCATATTGTAGTGAAATTTCATCTTTTAAAATTCCTAGGAACCTTAATTATTAATTTAAAATCGGAATTATATGCTTTACCAATTGTTCGAATCAAATTTATCTCTTGTTACCTTACATTAATTTTTATAATTAAACGAAGTTAACTGGATTGGACACGCTTATCGTTTGCAAGTTAATAATTTACGAAAATTGTCAAAAAAAAACAACTTTGGTCCTCCTATCAAATTATTTGTTAAATTTCTTTAGAAAAGCTGGTCTGTTTTGGGTATTCTTTACATTAAACTAAAGTGATAAAATATTTCTGCAAGTCAATCGTTGCTCGACAGGAGTATACTGAAATTCTGATTAGCGAGGCCTACGTCCTCACACCCCTACACACACCACGACGTGGACAATTACTCGCTCCCCTTTAATAGTAATTCAGGAAGCTTACACGGGAAAGCCTTTATTTGCTATGAAACAATTGCAATTTGACGTGTTTAATCCGATAGGAGGATAGGAACAAGAGGCCTCGATTTAACAGAGGATCATTGATAGATCATCGCTGTAAAAGTATTGCCAGGCAGATGACGTTCCAACGTCAGTATAAATTGCGATCATTTCCCAACTTAATCAAATCTTACTGTTGTCTTTCTGGGGGAAAACTGTACGGGGACATCTAAGTTACTTTAGGGAGGTAAGTCGAAAACTGATTACATCAAATTAAACTATAAAATAATAATAAGGCGGATGCTGTAAGACACAGAATGCACTTTACACGAAATATAGGTCCCTCTGTCATAAATAAACGATGGATGAAGAAGGAAATATATATAAAGTTCCATCCAATTTGATTTCTGTTTGATTCAAAAATTGGATTTTTTCTCCCGATATATATTTTTAATTGATGTGGCTAAAAATAAATACATCACATTGATCCGTGTTATATACTTACCGGTTGCGTTTCTATTTTAGTTTTTCTTTTATGTGGTTGAGGTGGTAAAACGTTTTGAGACCATTGTTGGTCTTGATTAATATCGAATTGATTTTTCATTTGATCAGATCAGGTATCCATTTCAATGTGTTTTCACAAGAATGTTTCTTTTTGTGCGTTTCAAAAGAAGAATGAAATTCCGATATCAACTTACTGTGCTGTACTTTTTATCATCTTTGCAATTTTACTTCAATGGAATAATAAAATGAGCATTGATGACATTTTTATAAAGATGTTATTGAAATGTTGAGCAGATTCGGCGATTGTTGAGCAATCTGTCACATTTCTTTCAGTAACCATAGGGGTAAAATCTTGACCTTTCGTTATAAGGAAACGAATCTATTTGATTTAATATTTCTTCCTTCCGATTTGAAGCACGATATCGCCGGTCATCTTTTTTGTTACTTTAGATTTTCATAGAGAAACATAAAACCTCTTAAACAAAAATCCTTTTAGACATGGAAAATTTCTTATACATGATAGTCATACAGTGTATTGCATTTCTAACCGAAAAACCAATTCAGTCTGATTGGGAAAAAAATTATCTTAATATGTACACCTTGTACGATTCCTGACGCCAAAATAAAAAAAAAAAAAAATCAGAAAAACATCAGACCTTGCATTGAAATGTTAACAAAATTTATAGATTTTGCACACAACACCCCCAACTTCTCATACCTGTATGTTTAAAAAGGAGATTTTATTTCTACTGGTTGAGAATCTTAAGAGATTATGCAATGGTTTAAAGATGCCCGTGTGCCTGTTTGTCTGTAAACAAATTAGCACAAAACAATACTACAATTTAAAATTTTCATTTTAGTGGCCTTAATTATCAGAATGATAAATTTCCGATTTTTTTTTTAAATCAAAATTAATTTCTCGTATTGTATTAGTTTGATTAAAATATTAAAAGCAAGTTTGTCACCAAAAAAATAATATTATTTATTTCACCTCATTGAAAAAATCTGGCCAAGTTTTAAACTTTAATTTCACTTCTATTTTTTATAAAGGATGTAAAATCTTACCAAAAACTTTATACTTTATATAATTCAATATGAATTTATTTTAGATATGTAATTTTTAATATTTACCTTGCCCACCACATAAAGCTGTAAAGCTTACAGTAGTGAAGAAGAAACATCAGGAGTATTCTGCAACAGTATATATTCGAGAATTGGTGTAAATTAGATGTGGATACTGAAAAATTCAGAGGAAATGTAGTAAAATTTGAAATAATAAATTGTTATTAAAAAACAAAAGCATAAAAAATTAAAGACTTGTCAACTTCATACACAAATATTCCTCACGATAAATAAAAGCCCAGGATTTTTGATATCATACACAGCTGATTTTTCAATAAAAATGTGACTCGTTAATATATTTTCTTACATGTACCTTGTCACTAGCCATTTGCAAAATTATTTTGTTAAAAGCAATCTGATTGTATACACAAGTACTCTGAAGTTGATATTAAAAAGATGCTTGAGTTTCTGGTTGACAATATCTAGGTGGTTTTTGACCTGGTCTTCCAACAATCTATTAGAATTCCCATGGATACCAATTACGCCCCGTTATTAGTAGAGCTATTTTTGTATTCATATAAAGCAGAATGTCAAAAATCTTATCCGTGAGAAGATGAAAAAACTTGCTGTGGCCTTCAACTGTTTTAATATATATTGAGAAGCAATATACCTTCATCAACTGCATACGAAGTTTTTATATCTCAGTTGACTCGATACGCGAGGGCATGCTCTACCTATGAACAATTTTTAAAACAAAATAAAATACAAGTATTGACAATTTCTGAAACAAGAATATCGTCAGTCTCCTTTAAAGCCATCATTTCTTAAGTTCTAGGTCGATACAATGACCTTGTCAGAAAATACAATTTCTCAATAAGTCAAATGCGAACTGACATTTATCATACTGATTGTTAGGCCATAAAATGCACTCTGAATTGTCTGTCGACGGATTTTTCGTTATTCCCTGAAAATGACATAGAGCACACGGCGGGTGTGACCGGTTGACAGGGAATGCGTACTCCTCCACGGCAACTGATCCCACCCCTGATGTTTTGGAGGTCCTTGCTTGCTCTGCTTCAATTTTATATTGTTTTATGGATTTTTGATCTTGGAAACTGTTCGTTATATCCATATATTTCACCACAATAGATTAAAGCTTTTACAAATTATAGGAAGTTTTTATTTTTATTATAAACATCCAGTTCTTTTTTGTACACAAACTATATGTGACAATATGTTCCTGTTAATAAGGTTTGCACTGTCTGTGCATAATAGTTTTATTATTATGGATTCATTATCTGTACAGGTACGGCAGAAATGAAATACGACAGGGAGTTGTTAACTTGTTAATTACCTAAACGTTCCTGGTCCTCTTAAATATGATATTGTTAATAAAAACGTCAGCCTTTGATTAGATTAACTCCTTACAACATACAGAATTGCTATGCAACATACATTGAATCCTCGCGTCATAGAAATATTACTTTACCATTTCCCCGCAAGCACTTTAAAGCGGGGTACAAATTTCTCTAAAGCTTAGCGTAAATAATATTCTGAAATAATATTTTAATTAGGAAATAACTTTTCTTATTTTATGAGGATCAAGCAAGTATAAAATAGTTGGAATTTTGCTATAAATTGAAGATTAAATGAACTTTTTTAAGTAAAACACACAAATGCGTGATTTTGCGTTAGAAATAGGAAATGGTATATGCGTTAAAATGCATGACTGCGGGGAAGGGTGTTAATTTTAGTTATAAGATAAACTTTCAGTTTAGATGGACAATAATTGAAATGCTGACCTACTTAAAAAACAACTTTGGTAAAATCTTTTGCTCCAAAAATCGGAACTTAGTTATTATTTTTCATATAAGCATTCCTTGTGACGATATCTTTTAGGTAATATTATAATATTTGTCAGATTGCATGAACTTGATCTTGAAGTTTAATGCAGGCTTGAGAAGCTTATTGCCGTCTTCCTTGCTATACAGAGTTGGAAGTTGTTTTTTTTTATCAGTCTTCGGACGATACACTACATGTATCTCTCTTTTGTGATTGGTAGAAAATGCATGATGAGAAATTTTTTTATTTCATTGGTTGAAATGCCGGTCAAGGAAAGGGAGAGATAATTTTCTGATGATCTAATATTCGTACGACATTATATAAATGGTGCCTGTTTTGGAGGGTAAGAGTTGAAATTGACACCCCAAGGAAAACCATTGACCGACGCGTCAGCGGAGGTTGACAATGGTTTTCCGAGGGGTGTCAATTTCATGTTACCCTCCAAAACACATTTTATTATACTGAATGTCTTCTTGATTTACTGTGTCAGCAATACAAATCGTCGATCGCCTTTTCGTTCACGTTTAGAAAGCTTTCAAACTCCCCGCCATATATATACCTCTTTAATTTGATACTCTATCCTTTATCATCTAAAGTTTCGTTATTTCTGCACTCGCAAGCATGTTTCGTCTGTCGTTTGTTGTTTTCAAGTAACCTACATCGGACGCAAGCTTTTCTTGACGTCAAGTTTATTCCCGTTTTTCAAACGCGCAACTGACGTTTTGATCTTAATTGTGAACCGTACGCGCATAATTTCCCCGCATGTGGCATTACCGTTGTGTTACCCGTAGTCACGTGTGTTGCTAAGGCTGGGGGTAATAGAACAGATTGTTAACTGCGTCTAAACCAATCAGATTTTAGTATTTAACATAAAAGTATAATAATATAAATATAAAAATAGAATAAAAATAAAAAATAAAAATAAAAATAGAAAAATAAAAAAAATTAATATAAAACAAAATATGACAAAACGAACAGTAGAAAGAAGGCGTCAATAATTCTAAATAACGTGCTTTTTTTTAACAGCAATAGCTTCAAAATGTTTCTATGGTTTAATTGTAAACAAAATTGATCTTCACAGCTTATATTTATTCTTTTTCCCTCTACTTGTGAAGATGTTGATGGAATCAGCAGAGGTTTAGCGAATATGATTTCGGCAGCAGAGTAGAAGTTTACGGGGACAGTCGAGCGGCTACATTTCAGTTTGTAGGGCTTATGCCAGTAAAAAAAACTAATGAATAAATACAAAGCCAAGAAATTCTCAAGAATAATGATGGCCTTATAGGTGGTCAGCTTACACAAATAAGACAGTTACAGTATGCAATAAATAATTACACCCAAACACGAGGACACTTAAAGAAAGAAGCAGCATTTTCTTAATTAACTAGTTCATATATCTTTTAAGGGGTAGATGATTGTTTAAAAAAAAAGAAATAACACATTGCTATTTAAAAATGTAGTAAAAATAAAGCTAAAGTATAAGAACTTTTAAAGTAAATATTATTTATGTAGGGTATTAGAATTGTTCAGCATAATTTGACTTCTAGTCAGTCTCGGCTACCATAAAAAGCCGAAATATTTGATGATCATTCCTTAATTATCAGAATCGGGGATAGGGATCTCTTTTCACGGCATCTTTTGATTAAAAACCAGTAGGTGGATACTGTTGTCTAATATATTACTTTCCTTTATTCAAAATAAATGCATGGTTTTAAAAATATTTTGAAATCTATTTTTAAGAAGTGATTTGTTGCAACAAATAATGTAAGTATTTAAAATTTTAGAAGGTAAAGAACGTGTTTTTATTTTTTTTTTTAAAGCGGTGTCATATTAACTCGA